AGCTGCGTCAAACGCAAAGTGGTTTGACGTCATGCTCGAGCGAACCAATGGCCCAACAGTCAAAATCTAGTAAAACTAGGGTCTTTGATCCAAGGTTCTGTCGAAGTGAGTTAATTTCGTGCCAGTTGCGAACTCCAAGAACCGCTAGCTGTTTCAGGACGATGGCCACATTGCCAGCCGCTGACCCGCTGGCGCAAACTTGTAGATCTGACCTGCATGGGACTGGCGCTCATGCACTCAAATGTCTAATGTTTCATTCCAGTTTCACATTCTTTCACGCACGGGGTTGCAACAGGTGGTAGAAGGGGCTATATGTTGACTACAAGTTTAGCGCGACGACGAAGACTACCAACCATTCTTCAACTGAGACAAAACGCTGAAACGTCAAAGTGGCAAATGCGACTACTACAGCCATGTCACATGCAACTCAGCGTGCTGAAAGCTGATGCGTAGTTGCACGATGCCAATGCTTTCTGGTCAACCAGAACTGCAGACGACGCTTCTAAGCCCTGTAACTTTTGGCGTTGCCAAATGCTAGAGTTTGTAGCATCTCCTGAGAAGTAAGTCAAACCCATAGCGTAGGGAGCGGTCCGCTCGTTGCCACATTGCATCATGCAACCAATCACACCATCAAAAGGGGGCAAACCATGATCTGCGCGAACGGCCTCATCCTGCGAAGGCAACGGTAGTTCATCAGCAATGATGGAACTCGGTAGGGCAAAGGGAACCAGCGAATTGGCAGGTAGGTCAGCGCCATCGCGATAAAGTTGCTCGCCGCAAACCATTTCATCCCGTTTGGCCCGCAGGTGTTTCAGAAGGGCGTACACCATGTCATGGTAACCGCGTACCCTTGCCAGGATAACAGCAAAGCATAACACCTCAGCGCGTGTGATTGTCCATCTTGAGACATCTACAAAGGACGCCAACGGAAAGCTTGTCGCCGAAACCAGCGACATTGTCTTCCTGAGGCCCAAGTTCACGGCCCCCCGCCATGTAAGCTTATGCTTATACCGGTCCACCTGGAGAGGTTCAGCCTGATGCTGACGCTTCTGCGCCACCTTTTGAAGCTTAGAGGAGGTTCGCCGTAGGGATTGCGACTTCATCTTCAGCTGGTGCTTCAAAGCCAAACACCGGTTTGACATATCGCGCCCGTGCAAATGCTCCCCCAATGCAAATACAGCCAGCTCACGGTGCGACATCTGCTGCAAACGTTGGAGTGTGTCAGACCGGCTCAAATCAGTCAGTTCTGACCTGAGGCGTTTTGCTCTCACAAGGTCCCCTGCCTCAAGGCTAACCACGCAATGTTGTTCAGCCTGGCTGGGCTCAGCTGACGCATCCGACATAAGGCGCGGAGGCGCGGGTGGTTGGCCAGCAGCAGCAGCAGCAGCAGCAGCAATGGTAACAACAGGCCACCGAATCACCACTGGCGCAGCATGATCAGTTCGATCTGCGCCAGAGATTGAACTTGCAGACAAGCCGTTAGATATGCCGCCGGGCGAATCTGTTGACAAGCTGAAACTGTCGAAACTGTCACCCCTGTGCGCCCGATCAAGCCCTTGAGAATGCGCAGGGCCGTTTGCCCCTGCCGTTGATTCCAATCGGCTCGCGACTTGAGATGCAACCAAGTCACACCAGTTCTCGAAAATAGGGGCGTGGCTGAGGCCTAACTTGGTCATCAGGTCTGGCAAGTACATCAAGTCGAACATGCTCGTCGGCTGGCGGGAAGGACCACACTGCGTCACGGCCTGATCAATGGCAAGGTGCAATGAGCAAGCAAACTGACCGGCAACAATCCGGCTGAACCAGTCATGACTCTAGTGCGCGTTGAGTCTGCGCTGACAGCTGACGACAAACCCGCAACACTAGGTCTTGGTGACGCGCGGCCCAATACACTCAAACGCTCCGCTGTGCAGACTAGCCGCTTCGCCGAGCGTTGCGATGGCCTGGTTGAGGTGATGCTTCAAGTTGTGCGGCACCAGCGATGCAATCCTGGGACAATCGCTGAAAGGACAGCCAGTTCAAGTTGTGTGGAAACTGTGGAAGGCAAAACAGCGGGGCCAATCTGACGCAGTGATTCACGCATCAAACATTCAGTGAAAAGAGTGGCGGGGTTTTAGTTTACAGTCAAGAATCTGCTGAGTGGTTGCCATCAGCGTCATGCGCTCCCGCGAGAGCCAGCTTGCTTTCAGCAGCCGGCGGGCCTTGACAGTAATGTCCGTCATGGCTGTCAGGAACTTGCGCTGGTGTCACGCACACGTAGATTTCTGAAAGTAAACACCTAGTCAACGCAGCGTGCTCTGTGATGCCACAGCTCACAGTGACTTGCGTGTTCCTGTGTGTTGGTGCGCAACAACCGCCCCAATGCGAGCTGAACCTTGTTTGCGTTGCGTGCTCTTACCCAAATGGCTGGGCGAATGACACAAACAAGCGGCTCCGATGTCAACTGCCTGCGACGCGATAGACATGAGCTGGCAAAAAAAAAAGTGCACCTAACAAAAACAAACGGGTCGCGCATTCAAAATTTCAGCCATGCAAACATAACACGTGCGATCAATAACACTTGCGTAGCTCAAAAAAACTTGGTAGCAATCAAAATATAATGATGGCTCACTCCAAACCAAAAAGCAGACACACTATTGGGAATGGTTGGGGCGCCCAACCTAGACCCTAGGGTCCAGTCAAAACTGGTGGCCTAGGCAGATGTGAGTCAACCAAACGGGGCTTCAACCCCAGACCCACATGAGCACTGCCCAATGTATGTATGTATGTTTGTATGTATGTATGTAATGTATGTATGTATGTAATATGTATGTAGGTATGTAATGTATGTAATGTATGTAATGTATGTAATGTATGTAATGTAATGTAAAGTAATGTAATGTAATGTAATGTACTGTACTGCAGTGTACTGTACTGTAATGTAAGTATGTATGTAATGCATGTATGTAGGTAGGAGGTATGTGATGTATGTGATGCATGTAATGTATGTAATGTATGTAATGTATGTAATGTATGTAATGTATGTAATGTATGTAATGTATGTAATGTATGTAATGTAATGTAACGTAATGTAAAGTAATGTAATGTAATGTACTGTACTGTATGTATGTAGTGTATGTAATGTAATGTAATGTAATGTAAGATATGGTAAGGTAAGGTAAGGTATTGTAATGTAATGTAATGTAATGTAATGTAATGTATATATGTAATGTAATGTAATGTATATATGTAATGTAATGTATATATGTATGTATGTAATGATGTATGAATGTATGCATGTATGTATGTATGTATGTAATGTAATGTAATGTAATGTAATGTAATGTAATGTAATGTAATGTAATGTAATGTAATGTAATGTAATGTAATGTAATGTATGTATGTATGTATGTATGTATGTATGTATGTATGTATGTATGTATGTATGTATGTATGTATGTATGTATGTAATGTATGTATGTATGTATGTATGTATGTATGTATGTATGTATGTATGTATGTATGTATGTATGTATGTATGTATGTATGTATGTATGTATGTATGTATGTATGTATGTATGTATGTATGTATGTATGTATGTATGTATGTATGTATGTATGTATGTATGTATGTATGTATGTATGTATGTATGTATGTATGTATGTATGTATGTATGTATGTATGTATGTATGTATGTATGTATGTATGTATGTATGTATGTATGTATGTATGTATGTATGTATGTATGTATGTATGTATGTATGTATGTATGTATGTAATGTATGTATGTATGTATGTATGTATGTATGTATGTATGTATGTATGTATGTATGTATGTATGTATGTATGTATGTATGTATATAATGTCTGTAATGCATGTATGTAGGTATGAGGTATGTAATGTATGTATGTATGTATGTATGTATGTATGTATGTATGTATGTATGTATGTATGTATGTAATGTATGTAATGTACGTAATGTAATGTAATGTAAAGTAATGCAATGTAGTGTAATGTAATGTACTGCACTGTGCTGTACTGTACTGTACTGTAATGTAAGTATGTATGTAATGTATGTATGTAGGTATGTAATGTATGTAATGTATGTGATGTATTTAATGTAATGTAAAGTAATGGAATGTAATGTAATGTAGTGTAATGTAATGTAACCTAATGTAATGTAACGTAATGTAATGTAATGTATGTATGTACGTATGTATGTACGCACGTAATGTATGTATGTATGTTCGCACATATGTATGTAAGTGTGCTTATTTGATTGTGTGTTTGCATGTTAGTATGTATGTTATCTAATGTCTCTAATGTCATGTAGTGTAATGTCATGTAATGTAATGTAATGTCGTGTAGTGTAATGTAATGTAATGTATGTATGTATACCTGCACATATACACATGCACATACAGGCGCTTACATTTTGATACTCTCCGTTTTCATGGCTTCGAGGTTTTCCCTTTTGCCACCTTATTTTCTGTCCTTCTTTCTATGTTATAACGAGCTGACCGATCCGAGGGCAAAGTGAGGAATCTACCAAATGCTGAAGGTCGTTTATTGGGGGGGCTCTCTTCTTCCAACTTGTCACATCCAAGTCCAAGCGAACCTGCAGTCAAGACCCTAACAAAAATGCCGTCAAGTTGCTGAATTGAAGGCCTTGACCCCAGGGATTCTCATCAGATCTCGGCTCACGGCTCCCTTTCTTGTCTTTTGGCAATTGGGATTCCTAGTATGGTTGTGCCCCAAAAGTGATATGAGGGTCAAAGTGCGCAGTCTGCTGTCCATTCTGGAGAAATGGATCTTGGGCAGCTCACTACGTAGAATTTCCTGTAAGAGGAATGGGGGGGGGGGGTGACGCGATTCTTTAGGCCAAGCACCCACCTGAAGCAAGGATTTCTGGCAGAACTTGCTGTACTTGGATATTCAATCGTTGACATGTTGAGTTGGCCGCCCAAATAAGAGACTACTTGAATGGCCAACTGGGCGCAGACATGGGGCCTCCCATAGGCCATACTGGTGATCAACGTTGCCTCCGGCCTTTATGGCCGTGTGCTGCTACGAGGTCAGGGTCCCGCGCGCAAGCGCGACACCGAGCGCGGCGCGTGTTTTGGCTTGTTCGGGGAAGCCACCAGGCAAAGGGAAGTTCTGAAGATGCGGAAGAAGTGCTGTTGGGCTTTTGGTGCCAACATAGGGCGACTTCCTGAAAAATCGCTAGCCATCTCCCACGAGCATGCTTGCGCCAGCCGCACTTGCGGCAGGAAACTTGGACAGACACGCTTCCGTGAGCAAATTCGCACGATGAGCAATTTTGCCCAAGCGCACTTGCACCAGCAAGCTTTCATGGACACCCGCTTGCACGAGCACACTTGGACGAGCACACTTGCACGAGGACGCTTGAGCAGGCACACTTGAACACGAGCACACTTGCGCTTGCGCGAGCGCAATTGCACGAGGATGCTTGCGCAAGAGAACTTGCGAAAGACAGCATCCAAGAGAGATAAAGCAATCTTTTATGGCGGCGCGGTGGGACCGAACCTGCTCTGCGAAAAAGCTATTTTTTGGCAGCAGTTGGCGCGCGAACTTTGTTGGGATTGGCGAGGTCGATATTGAAAAACCGAGAACTTTTGGATTTGCGCACGCGACCCTCTGCACGGATCGGTTTGCTATTTTTGCCCGTTCGCGCGTGACCTTTGCGGGGCCTATGTGCACAACCGTGTGAGCCATCTGCACGGAGCGACTTGCGCAGAGTCACTTGCGCAGACCAACTTGCGCAGGGCAATTTGCCCAGTGCCATTTGCACAGAGTCAGTGGCATAGAGCCGAGCTAACTTGCGCAGAGCCATTTGTGCAGAGCCACTTGCCCAGAGTCACGTGCACAGACCAACTTGCACGGGGCAACTTGCCCAGAGCCATTTGCACAGAGTCAGTTGCACAGAGGCAACGGGACAGAACGAATTTGCGCAGAGGTGCTTGCGCAGAGCCATCTGCGCGGAGCAACTTGCGCAGAGCAACTTGCCCAGAGCCATCTGCGCAGAGTCAGTTGCACAGAGCAATCTGCGCAGAGCTAACTTTCGCAGAGATACTTACTTTCACACACCACCTGCGCGGAGCGTAACTTTGGGCATCAGCCCACGCACGCACCTTAGTGAGCAGATGTTTACACAAAGTTTTTACCGAAAGCTTTGCGACAGGGTTCCCCCGGCAAGATAGCTAGCGTACTTGCACGAGCATGCAGACTCGCGCAAGACCACTTGCATGAGCACACTTGCGCGAGAAAACTCGCACAAGCACGCTTTCGCAAGAACACTTGCGCGAGCGATTAAGATTTAAATTTGCTCTGCAGTGCCCTTGATGGACTCCATATCGTGCCCAAAAGCAAAGACCGCATGTATGTTATGCTTTCAGGCCATCCGTTTCTTTGTGTGTGTTTTTTGCTCGGACTTTGAGCGCTGCTGCTCGGCCCCTTTGGTCGGATGTCACGAGTGGACCGCTCATCTACTTGCTGGTCCGGTTCGTGCGCAGGCTTATTGTCAGTATGCTTGAGCTTCAAGAGCCGGCGCAGTTTGGCTTGAGACATCAGGTGGTACGCCTCAAAAAATGAGCCGCAAGAATCTTTTGCAGTTTGATTTGCATGGCTGAGGAAGTGAGTTGCCCCCATGGTTGTGCGCATTGTGCTCACTTGGCAAAGCGCTAAGTTTCAGGTTTGTTGTCAAGGCGGGCGGGGCCTACTTTGTTGGGCGCCCTCCAAAAGAAACATGGAAGTGCGCGCGCACACATTAAATGGGCTTCACCTTTTTTTGGAAAACTAACCAAATGGGGGTTCTCCTTTCAAAAGTCATGTCTCGCCCAACGCCTCCAGGCCTGCAGGCCCTGCGTGCGTTGCTGCTGCCCAAGTATCTGCGAAAGCTCACCGTGACCAGGCGGTTCGGGATGGAACGTTTCATTTTCGAAGGACCGGACATTTGGCGCATGAAATGTTGTTGGTGGCTTGAGCGCACTAATTGGTGGTTTGGCTTGTTGAAGGTTAGGGGCTTCCTGGGCATTTGGTTTCAAGAAAGCGCCCAACTGGCGGGAAGGTGAATATTTTGCCGATTGGAGGCTAGTTTTTCTCGGCTGGGTATGTGAGTCACTTTCACCAAATAGTGTGTCAACTCCAAAGGGTTGTTGCGGTAAGTGCAAAGGGCCGGCGCTAGATCAGGGTGCTCGTTCTGGGCCGGACCACGTTCGGGGTATTTCAGATCAACTTCAAGATCCTGTAACAGCCCAGAGATACCTTGCACAGGTCCTTTAAAAGGTGCTCGCAAGAGGTCTCGTGCAAGACCTGCAACAGTTTTCTTTTAACACCGGTGCTCCCTACAGTAAGAGGTCCTGCCAAGAGATCCTGCCCCTGCATCTTGCGCATCAGAATTTCCTTGTGAGAGATCTTGTAGAGGATGCCCCCCCCAAAGATCTTGAACAGGAGAGGAGGTTTCATGTCGAGACATCTTGTAGAGCACGCCCTCTACAGATCTTGAAGAGAGAGCTTGTGGAGGGTTGTCTCGGAGATTTTGCGCACAGATCGTGTGAAGAGTTTCACAGATGCTGCATACGTCCCCCAAAACTATTTGGGGTCTCCAGCCGATGGATGTTTTTTAGAGGTTTGCCAAATGTGAGACATACTCTGAAGAAAGTCGCAACACGCTTTTGGCGTTTTGGGGTTGGGTCCATCTTCATTGTGGGCCCAATGGCCTTGGATCTGGCCGGCAGCAATTTCCGATGCTTCCCCAAATAGTGTTGGAGCAATTTGTGGCCTTTGATGCGACAGTTTTGCACGAAAACCGCCTCATCTCTCGCTGTGGCGCCGTGCAAATTGTACGAATGTCATCGCGTTTTGATGGTGGGGACAAGAGTTCCGGCGGGTGGCGCTATGTTTTTGGAGAAACGTCGCGCCAAACGAGTTTTTTGGAGCAGGCTCTGCTGTTTCCTTTTTGACATCACACGTGGGAGTCCCGGTGTCAGTTTGGAATTCACGCCTGGGGGGCTCCGCTCCATTTTGAAATCATGCCTGGAGGTCGTTTGTATTTTTGATTTCACGCCGTCACCGTTTCTTTTTTGATGTCACGCCTGTGTTTTGAAGTCATGCATGGGAATCTGCAGCGGGAGTAGCGCGGGGAGCGAATGGCGCCAAGCCTTGTTTCTTCTCAAGCTGCCTGTGCAGCTGACTGACTATGGGGTCGTGGCCTTTGTCTGGCTCGGCTACAAGCAAAAGGGCCCTTCAGCTGCGGAAGGGTCAAGACTGATGTCTGGACAATCTACATGCCTGGCATCAACTGATGAGCCTCTAAATGCCCGTGTTGCATGGGCACAAAATCCTTCTCAGTTGATGACGTGGTTGGATTACTTCGGGATCGGGCCGTTGAGGTAGACGAGGGATTCTGCAGGGTCTGCAGCGCTGACTTGCCCGCTTTGGCATTCTTGCGAGCACTCTGGAAGCTGGGGTCGAAGGCTATAGACCACACTGAGTCAGAAACTGCAGTAACCCGGCCCTGCATGATGGTGCCTTCTTGGTCAAGGCATCGCCCAAATCATAGTCCGAGGCAGTCCAGCAAAGCTCTGTGAGGGTGCGTTCCAAACTCTCTCTCACTTGAAAGGCTTGAAGAGCGGCTCTCATATTGGAGAGCCCAAGCATCGGGGACTCATGGCGAGTCACAGCATCGTATCCGCCTCGGGAATCTGCAGTGACCACGCCCTTGACAAAGCTTGACCACCTCTTCGCCGGCAGAGACCTTGTCGGTGTCGCGGTGCTGGTGGATGGACTGGCCATGAAGTTCGCACCAAAGAAGTCACATCCGGAAGTTGTTATCCTCGGATTCGACCATGGCTTGTACCTCGGCGTCGTTCGAGCTGATGGCCTTGCGTTTGAGTTTCCAGCATCGCCAGGTCAAAAGACACATCTTGGTGGGAGCGCCAGTGATCGTGGGCTGGAAGCAACGGTGATCATGCCGCCAGTGCTATCTCCTTGAGGTCGGTTGGCGTGAGCTTGGTCACCCATGGTGATGAACACTACGTCGGTCCAAAATTGGACTCCAGGCAGCTTGAAGAATTCCAGCTTGACGGGGTTCCTGCGGACCTCACACACCATTTGTTGAATTTCTCGTGCAACAGAGGTCGAAGCACCTCGGTGAGCAAGAGATTGCATCTCGCACTGAGCTGTGGTTGAGTTTGCACCGCAACCCACTGCAGGGCTCCCAGGGTAGCTCGGCAGTGTCCAACTTCGTTGGAATCCAGAACGGAGTCCACTTGACGAAGACGTTCGGGAGGTATGTTCACGTCCTGGAGAGACTCGATGTAGTACAGTTGGTCGACGGTGATCGTGGTGTCACCGTTTTCATCCTTGCCGATGACGAGGTCGGTGCCAGCGTGGCGATATTCTCCACGCTTGATGGTACCCCAGACGTAGGCACGGTCAACCTGCTGGCAGACCTCATTCCATTCAGGGTTGGACTTGTCTCCGGTCCGGTGGAAATTACATGGCCACCCATGGCGCCAATGACGAGAGGTCGGCCTTGTTGGTCTTTCTGATGTTGCGAAAGCCACACCCACATGCATCTCTCCGAAGTCAGGGAGATGCCACCAAGACGATTGAAGGTTGCATGGAGATCTTGCCAAAGTCCACGGGGTGCCGTGGTGGAGCCGTACACGTTCTTCAGGATGCGAAGAATGCCTTCGGAACCAACGCCTAGGGCTTCTCGAAGCTCTTCAGTTCCGTAGGTCCAGAGTTTCTTATCCTCCTCAGTCTTCTGGGTCTGCAAGAATGCCGTTGCAAGGTCAAGACCTTCAAGTTCCCAACCGTGCTGGCAGGTCATGAGGTACAGGAGGTTCCTCCCAAGGTTGGTTTGAACCGGACTCGAGGTGCGGAAGGAAGGGTCCAGTAGATCGGGGTGTTCGGAATCAGCACCTCAGGTCGAGGTTTGTCAGAGAGCCAACGTTCGGAGAAGGCCTTGATGAGCATCTCGGCATTCTCCGCTTTCATCTCGAGGAAGTTGTACTGCATGAGCGGGCAGACTACTCGCAGCTTGGTGGCCAGGTCGATGAACAAGGCGAACTTTACCTTGCGAGGTACTCCCGGAACATCCCACTCGCTGACATCCAGACCGACCGCCTGCCAAGCTTGGTATAGAGGATAAGTTGCCGCTGGAGGGACTTGTCCACTACTAAGTCCGCCAGGCCGAAGTGCTTCACACGCACTGCATTTGAACTCCTTGGCCTTGTCGATGCGCCATCGTGGATGTCCGGCTTCTTGAAGAAGTCGAACCAGGTTGGAGTTCGTAGGGTGTCCAGCAGCCTTGTGGAAGTGAGCTAGCTTGGCTTCCCACCGTTGCACTTCTTCAGGACTGGGTGCATCCGGCGGATGGTGTGGATTAGCTGGCTGTGGCTCATCAGGTGGAAGTGCATGAGGTTCAGGTCTTGCTGATGCTTGGCCAGGATCGGATGGTGGGTGCGCTGGTAGAGCATGAGGATCACCATCCTCTTGAGCTGCAAGTTCCAAGGCCAAGTGAGCACCATGGTTCTCGTTCTTGGAGTGAGCCCAGCGATGAAAGCGGGGAGGTAGGAGCTGATCGCGCCAACATCTTGCTATTGCCAAAACCATCCGCCAGGGATAGTAGGCTGACCTGGAGGTTTCGATTCCTTGGATGTAGGTGTGCTGGTGGTTCTTTGGGCATACCTTGGCGTGAAAGTGGCGGTGCAAGTCGCAATCGGTGGTGCGAATGGACCATTTCTTTGCCAGGAAGTGTTCCTCGAGGTGGTCCTTCATGCCGTAGGCGCAACCATCGATTCTACAGTGGAGCCACTCGATATCCCGACCTCCAAGTTCTGCCGAAAGATCTTGAAGAGGTCGTTGTTCCCACCCGTAGCAAGGATGAGGCCACTCCCAGTAGATGTCGATGTCGTGAATCTCATCGACGGATTCCAGGATGAAGTCCCTCGCGAACCGGAGCATTTTCCGTTCGCGGCGGCGGTGCTTTTCAAGCTTCTCCTTGCCCTCGGGTGTGGAGTAGTTGAGACTGGTCCATCGGCGCCACTTCGTACAGGGAAGTGAGAACCGCAGTTTTCGAGGTTTACGTGCACGACGAAGTTGCCGAAGGCGGACCCAGGTTTCCTCCTTGTACAGGTTGAAGCCGTTGTAGAGGTTGATGCGTTGAGCATCCATGCCGTGGTCCTGCGCCGCTTGAGAGAGCCAGCTTTGTGGGGCACATGCGAATTCCCACACCACATCGCGGTCGCCATAGTTGAGGTTGAGGAGCTCGGTGGTCATGAGGGCTTGTACGCCGATCACCATTTGCATGACCTTCGCACCGACGCTGACCGGCAGGGGGTGGATCATGCTACTTCTTGAAGTTCCTCCTCCTCCTCGGAAAATTGATCCGCGACTGCTTGCTGACGTTCGGTGACCACTTCCATGAGTTTGGTCTGCTCCTCCGTGGACAGGTACCGAAAGATGTCCCTCGTGTCCATCTGAGGTTTCTCCCAAGTGACTGCTCGCCATTGACGGGCTCGGAGAAGCGTACCCTGCGGAGTTTCCTTGTGGTTGGTGCGCTTGGGAGGAACTGGACTTGTCTTGTTCGTGGAGGAGACCGGCTGATCCTTGACCTTGTGGATCATCACCAGGAGTTTCTCCTCGGCTACCAGCTGGACATACTCGGGGACCCTTGTCTTGGGATGTACTGAAGCCTGAGATCGCATACTTGACAGTGGGGCCAGCGCCCGTGGGGGTTGCTTGCCCAGTTCCCCGGTTGGTGGCGGTTGAAGCATGGCCAGGTGTTCTTTGCGCGGATGTCCCGAGCGGATCGAAGGGCATGGTGACCTTGGAGGTCTTCTTCTTCGAGGTGAGGTTCTCGGGCAGCTTCGCCGTGGTCGGAGTGACGTCCAAAGGGTTGGTCAGTTTCTTGGACATGGCTTGGAGGTGCCGGAGTCGAATTGGAAGAGAGCACACTACCCATGGACTCAGATGAGTCCAGTGCTGATATCAGCCAGGCCGGCACGGTTCGATGTTCTTTCATGAGCTTCCATGCATACAGCTCGCAAACTCGGGATGGACCATGAGGTGCAAAGGTGTTACAGGAGGGTCCACCCGAGAACAAGTGCCAACCTTGACATTCATGTCGTACATCTCGCAAGGGAAAAGGGTGTGCATGTTGCAGGGTTTGCCAGTAGTTGATGTCGGGGTCCAGGAGCTTCACAACCGGGTGATCATCCGCGCTGGTGTTTTGATTGCCTCCAGTAAGAAAGTGGACCAAATCAACAGTGACCCTTGTGGTTCTTATCCAGCTGGTAGGGACGCGTGGCCAAATCGACTACCATACCAACACCATCAGAACCTGCGTGACTATGCCAACCAGAATCGGGACCAGCGTGTCGGTGGTGAACCATTGCTCGAAGAACTCGGGGGGGTTCGGAAGAGCATACGCATGAAAGACTCGAGGGTGGCCAGAGAGTTCTGATTGGAGGGTCACCCCACCGACCGCTCCCGTAGCGAAAGTATGGACGCTGATTGGGGTCCACAGTCACCGTGGCGGACTTGTCCTGCCGCAAAACTGCCTCAATGAGACGCTGTACTGAGGCTTCAGGGCCAGCACTTGCGGTGGCGCCACAATCCAACATGCCTTGATGTGGAGCTACCTTTCCAGGGCTAACTGATGACAGCTCCAAGGGATTGTGTGGTCCCTCATGCATTTCCAAGCCATTGATGCCGTACATGTCCTGGACGTAGGCGTTGACAGTCGGGCGGTGATCACTCTTGCCCTTGCCCTTGGAGATCCAGGAGAGATCATGTTCGGCCCACGCGGCTGACTTGGAGCGCCCCTTCCAGCCCTTGCCTTTCTTGCCAGACTTGCCGGTGAAGAAGTGCTCGTTGTAGGGATCCGCAAGCATGAAGGCATGTTTGCCCTTACCCTTGGAAGGATGTCGGCGATCTCGAGCATAGTGACGGCCACCACACAGGAAGCAGCCGCTGCCCTTGCCGCCGGAACTGTTGCCTTTGCCAGAGTTGCTGAACGATGCGCCGAAACCGTGGTCCTTGCGAACCAGTTGAGTTGCACGTTGAGCTTCGGTCCAGGTGCGTTGGGCATCCATGGCCATTTGTTCGGCTGCGCGTTCGGCTTGCATGGCACCCCGGAGTTTATCTTGCTCCTCGGCTGAAAGGGCTTCATCAGGTAGTTCTGGAACTGCGGGGGAAGACCATGACTCAGGATCTTCTTCCCAACCAGACTGGGTCCAGGCATTATCAAACCAACCTTCATCAGAAGGGTCCCAGGGTTCCCAGTCTTGATCCCACGCATCCTGGTAATTGAGGTCGGCCTCGTGGTAGTTCAGGTGCTGAGGAGGCCGTTGACGATTTCCAAGAAGTTGTTCATCCCAAAGCATCTGAAGAGCTTGGCTGATGGCCTCGACGGAGCTCTCCATGGCGGACAGCTTCATCATGGGTGTTCTTCGTGGCTGGCGTCTTCTTCAGGCAGCTTCCCTCAGTGCGGAGGACAAGCGCGACATCTTAAGTACAACCCGTAACTCCCTGCATGGTTCCCGGTGTGCCAGTGGTATCCGTCACACGCTGTGCTGGAGGGGAACTGACTTGTGCGTCGGGGCTAGGCTCCTGGCTGGGAGCCGATCCAGGTGCGGCAGTTGCTGAGAGACCGGACACGTCTCCAGGTGCTTCGGGAGCTTGTTCTCCTTCGGAAGGGGGGATCTCTTCGTTGACGGGCTGATAGTCCCAATCTGACCAGGACTCGCCCCATTCATCCCAACCAGAATCCATGTTCTTAGGGAGGCCAAAGTCCTTGCGGCTTTGGTCAACACCGGAAGACTCTTCGTGAAGGCGAAGAAGAGCCTCCACGAACTCCTCATAGCCGAGAGTCTCCCTCACCAGGAAGTTGCCGATGCCCTCGCCGGGATTCCTCTTGAAGGAAAAATACTGCTGCATGATTGCCGCGGCATTCGGTAGCGACTTCCTGAGGAGGGGCGAGGCCGCAAGTCGTTGAAGCAGTTGAAGTACTCCATCGGTATGATCAAAGTCAGCCCTTGACCATGACATGGCTAAGAGCCTTGCGAGGCCCCGAAGTCGGCCTATGAGCTTTGCCGCCAGGTACCTGCGCTTGTGGGCTGGTGTTGACTGTGCGCACCAGGCCACTTCCTTGTAGTACCTGCGCCATGATCGCGCCTGACCATCCCAGGATGGAAGATGGTCAGACCTGAATTCATTGTCCATGACTACTTCGCCGTCCGGGAACGTGCCAATCTTGAAGTCCTGAGCGATGATCTTTTCCTGGGTCGTACCAAAGGGCTCGACGGCTCAAGGCGGTCAAGTAGCTGTGCACACGTTCCTGAACGTTCTTGGTGCACTTGATCGGGCTCAGCAGGAAGCACTGAATCGTTGCCTCCTGCTCCGCTACCAATGCAGCGGGAGTAGCGCGGGGAGCGAATGGCGCCAAGCCTTGTTTCTTCTCAAGCCGCCTGGGCAGCTGACTGACTATGGGGTCGTGGCCAATGTCTGGCTCGGCTACAAGCAAAAGGGCCCTTCAGCTGCGGAAGGGTCAAGACTGATGTCTGGACAATCTACAACCATGGCATCAACTGATGAGCCTCTAAATGCCCGTGTTGCAGAATCCCTTGTTTTTTATTGTAATAAATAGATTCACGCCTGTTTGCAAGGAAAACACCCGGGCCCACAGGCGTGAATTCCAAAAAACAAATACACCAGCATAGACCCCAGATATAGCAAAACCATGCCAATGATTTGACGCCACCACCTCCAGCAGTACGCCCCAAACACCAAACAGCACCCCAAACAGCACCCAACCAGCGCCTACACCAGCACCCCAAACTGAACGCGCCCTAGCACGAATCACCGGGACCCCCAGGCATGGATTCAACAAAAACATCTCGGAGCCCCCAGCGGTGATGTTAAAAGCCATGATTCCAGGCGCCTCCTGCGACCCCCTTTCGAGGGGCGTGTACCCTTCGTGTGAATTGGGAGGTTTCCTTTCATTTTGAAGCCTGCGATTGGGACCACCGAAGCCGAATCCACTGTTCTCTCCCAAGGCTCTGGGGAAGAGACCTGTAGTTTGGATCCATCACCCAAGGGTCACTGGTGCGTGAAGATGGTTCCCACGCACCGGGAAAATTGGATTTATGTACCAAGGGGGCTAGTCTTTGGCCCAGAGAGACCGCTTGGAAAGAATTGGAGCCTACAAAAGGTTTGGCGTTTTGCTCAGGGAGCAACCCAGTTGGTGGCTAGTGCATGCAATTCCCCATTATAAACCTTTCAAGGAGGTTCGGGGGTAGTGGAAACCATCTTAGAGGGCCGGGCTTTTTGCTTGGCAGGTGGGTGAAGGCGTCGCTCTGCCAATGCAGCCGAGAGGTGTGCGCGATCTGGAACATCCTGCACCTTGAAAAGAAACTTTCTGGGGTCAATTCCTGTATGGGTGTGTGTCTTTCTTTGACGGTCCGTTGAATTAAAAGGGATGCCAAAAAGAGGACAACCATTTTTAGGCCCCCTATTTTGAGAAACACCAGTATTACTAATTTGACCTGGACCAATAAACCCCTTGTGAGTTGCGTGCCACGCAACCGGCATTTCATTGGCATGTGAAACCTGTACATCCATATCATGTGTGGCCGTGAATCCCCTCGCATCCCACATAGGGTGGGTATCTGCCGTTTGACGGCACCGACCGATGGCTACGATGAGCAGGAAAAGGTTCTACCGCCTGCGCCTCTGGGACTTCGTTAGCCCCTGCCAATCCATTGAGATTGGTAGCGGAGCTGCCTTTACGCTCCAAGTGGCCTCTCAGATGGCATCTGAAGCGGCAACTGCAGCGCTGGACAGCACCTCGACTCGGGACAGCTTCATCCCTTTGTTCTCCGCGCATCCGCAGGACTATCGGGAATGGCGCAAGAGGATCTACCTGTACTACCGCAGGCTGTGTACAACCTCCTGGGTTCCCTCACTGGCACTGCTTGGAAGGTAGTTGAGCACCTCGAAGATGCTCAGATCGAAGCGGACACTGCGTTCGACGATATCCTGGCCATCCTGGACAAGTCCTTTCGGTATGACGACAGGGTGGAGCTCCCCGCTCACTTCGAGAATTACTTCAACCAGCTGCAGCGCCGTTCAGGCCAAACACTGCTCAGCTACGTCACCGAGCACGACAAAGCCTTGCGACGCCTGGCACAACATGATGTGAAGCTTCCTGCGTCAGTGGTGGGTTGGCAAATGCTTCGGAAAGCCAACCTCAGCAAGGATCAGCATCGCCTCATCATGACGCAGGCCGGCAAGGATCTCACTAAGGAGAAGGTTGTCGAGGCCTTGTACTTCGTGCTTGGTCAAGACTACAAGTTTGGACATGATCGCCCACGCGGCCCTGGCTTCAAGGGCTCCGGATTTCATCGGCGCCACACAGGCTATTGGGCCTCGGAGGGCGACTACGATGAGCCCTACAACGACGTCGACCCCGACGGCACCTACTGGCACGATGACCAGAGCTACGCGGACGAGATCTACTGGCAAGATGATCACTGGGACTCCATCAGCGACGAAACCAGCGACGACCACCACGAGGCCTACTACGGTGAGGACGATGAGTCTAGCAACCCCTGGCCCGTGGAGGAGTACGACGAGGTCTAGTCTGCCTATGTCGATGCTCGCAAGCGTTTTCAAGAACTCCGACTGTCTCGTGGATTCCTCCCTGTGGTCGCCTTGCAGGATGGTGGTCCCGGATCATCAAGCTCTATGGCGCCTTCGCTGAAAGGAGGACCCGGCCGTGGAAAAGGCAAGGGTGGCAAGTCTTGGTCAAAAGGTTCCGGCAAGCCATCGCAAGCCAAGAATCGGGCCAAGAGTGCGCTTCACTGCATTCGTTGTGGAGCGGCTGGACACTGGGCCAGCAACTGCCCCATGCCACGGAATCCGGCTTCCCCGACTACGCCTACAACCTCGCCGTCATCTCGCCCGAACAAGCGACCGGCTCTGGAAGATGGCTCGGCTCTGATGGCCGGCATCCTCATGGACAGCAACGGAGTGGATCGGCCAGATGCCGTCATGCTTGACCCTGGTGCCTCATCTTTCCTGGCCGGCTACCACACCTTCATCGCCTACGTTCAAGTTCTACGTCAACTTGGTTACCCCGTGGAGCTCATCTATCTGAGTGGTGCACCAAGGAGTTTCGCTTCGGTGGCGACAACTACGGGACGAGCGACTGGGTGGTGAAGGTTCCTATGTTCGTTGGAGGACGCTACGGGTTGGCTGAATGCTTTCAGCAAAACAATGCGGGTTCCTGGCTCTGGCTGGCGACCGTTGGAGTGTGGCCGGCAAGGTGAATACCTGCTGTCGCTCGTCGAGAGCTACGACGACTTCAGGTCAGGCCTTCCTGACCCAGCGTTCGAGCACGTGCTGACCAACGAGCCGGACCTCGAGTACGGCGTCTCCCTGAAGGAGTTCCTTACGGCTGAGAACCTGGACGTGAACATGGTGGCCAACGACACGGATGTCTCGCCCCTCCTCAAGACTTACCATCACATCGTCTGAAGCCCAACCAGCTGTGGACTCTTCAGGTTCATCTGAAGCAGCAAATCGACAAGACTGAGATCAAAGTCGATCAAGCCTTGGCTGCCATGGAACGCCCCCGACCACGCCTGGTGTGGGAAGTCTTTGCCGGCAAGGCCGCCATCTCTCATCATGTACAAGCTGCCGGCGGTCAGACAGAAGTCTTCGGGCTCCACACCGGGTGGGACTTCCGCATCAAATCGCACCAGGACGCCTTCGTCATGGATTATCTCCATCAGAAAAAAAAGCCGGACAAGGTGATTCTGGCACCCATTTGCGGACCATGGTCGCCCATGCAGAATATCAACTCCCGAACTCCTGAGCAGCGTGAAAAACTACGTGCTCTACGTCAATGGCACCACGACACCTTTTTGCTCTTTGTCAAGAAGGTCTACCTGCACACGTGGAGCAGCCTCTCAGCGCCAAGTCCTGGAAGACTCGAGCCCTACGGTCTCTTCCTGGTCTGTGGTGCACCTTCGATCAATGTGCATACAACAGCATCTGTCCGGATGCTGATGGCGAATGGCTCTTGGTCAAGAAGCCTACGGCCTTGCTCACCACCAAGATGGCCATGGCAACCGCAATGTGTCACCGGTGTTCAGGAGACCACATGCACTGCGGGCTGGAGGGCTATCTCAAAGACTACCGCATCTCTCGCACCGCCTTCATGGAAGACTATCAGCCCGAGATGATGTCAGCAGCCCTCATGATCCCGGAGCCGGCGCAGCCCCAGTCATGGATCTTTGCCGCTGATGATGTGGCAGAGCCTGGAGGTGTTCTACAACGTCTCTTCACCAACCACAAACGCTGGTTGCTGTCCTTCGACAGCTGAGTACCGATGTCCAGCATGTGCGCACTATGTACGACCACCACGACCATCCCCTGCACAGCTCTCACCGTCAACCAACTTCAACGACGTGGTACAAGCCGATGTCATGTGGCTGAAGCCTGATCCCAGCAAGGATGACAAGTACCCGATCATCAGCATGGTCTGCACTGCGACACGCTACATGGCGCGCCTGATTCGGCCTGAGCAGACCACAGACTACATCTCCTCCCTGGAGAAGAGCTGGATCCGACACTTCGGTCCGATGCAGGTCCTCATGATCGACGAACATCGTGCATGGTCTAGTGACGCCATGTCGAGCTGGGCCCGAGACAATGGCATCAGCCTGGTCATCTCCCCCGGAGAGGCTCATACGCGGCTTGGAGTGGTCGAGCGGCGACATCAACTGCTTCGCCGTGCTGTTGAGATCTATCTTGCGGATCATCAGGATCACTCTCGTGATGCGGTTCGTAAAGCCTTGGACTATATGGTCCCGCAGATCAATGCTCTCCCAAATGTGCACGGATACTCACCAGCCCAGTGGGTTCTTGGCAAGCAACCCTGAGGACGGCCTCAATCCTGGACACCTTCAACCTGGTGACTTCGAGGATGTTCTCGCCCAGCGGGCTGCCGCGAAGCATGCCCTGATCCGTGCCGACACCGACACCAAGCTGCGTCGAGCTCTTCTGCGTCGCTATTCTGGCTACAACAAGACCCTGGAAGTCGGACAGAGCTGCTACTACTGGCGTGATGCTCGGGCCTCCGATCTTGTCAAGATCAGATGGCGCCTGCTGTTGTGGCCATGCGAGAAGATGATCAGCAAGGCAAACCTACCGTCTACTGGTTGGTTCATGGCACCAACTTGCTTCGTGCTGCCCCTCATCATGTCAAGCCCGGTGACCTGGATCAGCTCTCCGGCATGAACCATGCTCTTGATGCACTACGCAATCTCCGTGGCCGGGGAGTGACCCGATTCTGGGATTTGCAGCAACTCAACCAAGGACGTCGAATCGAAGAAGTCGGCTCCGACGAGGAGGCTATGGATGATCTCAATGACCAGTCTCTCGACATGTCTGGAGAGGAAGTGTCAGAGCCCCCTCAGCAACGCCGACGCCTTGTCGAACCTGGAGCTCCAGTACGTGAGCCTCCATCAGATGCGCCAGCGGCATCACCGAGTCAAGAGTCTTCAGAACCTCAAGCACCACCAACACTTGAACCTCAAGCACCATCACCACCTAATCCCCAAGTCCTTCCACCAGTACCGGAGGAGCTCTTGGACGAAGACCTCAGGTGAATCCTGGAAGAGGATGTGTCTCGCACAACCTCTGTCACTGAGCCGGTCATCGAACCTGAACCTCAACTTCCCTCTGATTATCGACCGGTGCAAGGTGAGACCTTTGAGCAGCAACGCCTCCGTGTAGATCGTCAAGAAGCTCCACTGTTCCAACAGCCCTCATCGTCAAGTCGACAGAGATCGCGATCTCCACCACCACGACCTACAAAAGTCCCAGCACCATCAACTGACGACCATGATTTGGCCGATGCTGTGTTCCCGGTTGATGAGTTTGACCTCAGTGCTCTACCACCAGGATGGACTCAAGACGGCGAAGGCTACCTGCAGTTCACTGGACACACGGACGACTACTGGACTGCCCCTTCGACCCCAAGGATCTCCGTGGTCAGCGAATCACCCTATGGCGTCTACCTGATGGTCGTCTCCGTCGTGATGATTGGCGTGATGGTGGCAGTGACTTCTGGACCAACTCCCAGGTTCCCAAGAACTGGGACGGCTTCACCATTTTCACCTTTGACAAGGCCAAGGTCCGGGACATCAAGAAGAAGGTCGAACCACTTCGTGTACACCTTGCCACCGATGGTCGTCGAGTTGCCAAAGCCTATGTCGCTGCAGCTGATCGACAAGTCCGCCGTGGCGCCAAGGACAAGAACAACCTGTCGGAGCGCTACATGACCCTCGAGGATCGCATGCAGTTCCTGGAAGCCAAACGGAAGGAGCTTTCGTCCTTCTTCGAAAACAATGTGTGGCAGTTCGACAATGTGAAGTCGGCCGATCCTGCCCGCACTCTTACAGCCCGGATCCTCCTCAAGTGGAGCAAGAATGCTGACGGCAGCAGACGAGCCAAGGCCCGTCTAATCGTTCGTGGCTATGCCGACCCCGATGCCCTTCAAGGCAAGGTCGAGTCCTCGAGCCCTACTCAGTCGCACCATTTTGCTGGCTCTTGCAGCCACATATCGGTGGCCCCTGTGGACAGCTGATGTAGCAACTGCATTCTTGCAAGGTCTGCCACAGGACCGGAAACTCTGGCTCCTGCCGACGCCCTGGCACTGCTGGGCGCTGATATGGACACCAGGATGCTCCTGATGAAGCCGTGCTATGGTCAGATTGATGCGCCGAGGAGATGGTTCCTGGAAGCCACCCGACGTCTCCGTCATGCAGGGTGGCGACAACATGTACTAGATCCTTGCCTCTTCATGCTCTACCCCAACCTGGCGGATCAGACCTACAACAAGGACACCGAGAACGGCAATGTCGAAAACAACACTGGCATCCTTGAGCCGTGTGGCATTGTCTGCCTTCATGTAGATGATCTACTTGGCTCCGGAGACCCACAATCGGAGACCTACCAGGCCGCCGAGGTCAAGCTCAAGGAGATCTTCAACTTTAGGGAGTTCAACAGTGACAAGTCCACACTCCAGTACTGTGGTGCTGAGCTCAAGCAGGTCAACGACGTCTGGCACCTCGGGCACCACGACTACCTCCATCGTATCAAGCCGATTACCCAGAGCAACTCCATTCAGAAGTTGGACCCGTCCGGAGTCTCTCAACTCCGTGGATTGGTTGGTGCGCTACAGTGGCCGGCTGTTCAGTCCAGCCCGCATATACAATGCTCGGCCTCGATTCTCTCCGGCGAGGTCGGAACTGGCACCAACATGACAATCAACGAGGCAAACCGCGCGTTGAAGTTTGCCAAGAACAACTCTGATGTCACGTTGCAGTACCAATCTGGCAGACCTGCGCCTGGTCACTATGACAGACGCGGGATTCGCTTCCCGATCCGATGGCAGCTCCCAAGGTGGCTACATCACCCTGCTGGTCAACGCCGCCTGCTTTGACGGCAACGAGCTCCCCTACATGGTCTTGGACTGGCGCTCGTACAAGCTACCTCGTGTGTGTTGCAGCAGTCTGGCTGCGGAAGCTCAGGCGGCTGGTCAAGCCGTGGACAGCATGGAAATGGTCGTTCGCGCATGGGAGCACATCTTCAACCCCAACGTGAAGCTCCGTGACCTTTTGGAAGTTCGCAGCATGCTCAAACCAACTCTGATCACCGACGCCAAGGCCCTGTATGACAGCTACCACACAGTTCGCCGCACCGGTTGTGAGATCATGGTCATGAAGGAAAGGCTGCAATCGTTCGGCGGTCACCTCAGGTGGATGAGCAGTGAGTTGCAGTATGCCGACGGTCAGACCAAACTGTCCACCCGGCAACTTCTTGCAGACCGTTTGAGATCACACCAGCTGAAGCTTTCGTGGGACCCCAGCTTCACCGCTGCCAAGCGCAAGAGTAAGGCCGAACGTCAACAAAACATGCAGGAGGGAGCTATTCCCAAACCACTCGCGCAGGGCGAGGTCATGGTCTCTTTCTGCCAAGCCACCTACGTGGACAACCAGAAGAACACGCTTGTGGAACCCGAGGGCACGTTTGTCGAGCCCTATGCTGAGTTCATGGACTACGCCGTGATCACCCTCCTCCTGATGTTCGGATGGTGTGTGGTTCGGAACGCACTGAGCTGTTCTTGCCCCGGCCGAAACCATACGGCCGTGACCGATGCGGTCGTGCAAACCGATCCCATGCCCATGGATCCCGTGATCACCACCCTGGAATTGAACTTGGAAGAAGCCAACAGCAGCAACGAGCACCTCTTGGGTCAGAACTTTCGGATGCAGACGCTACTACGTGAGCTACAACAACGCGAAGTGCAGCCCACTGGCCCCATTGTGCTCTCCCGCTACGGCAGTGTTTGGCATGTGAGCCGTGAGTGCCGACACCTCCGTGGTGTGAATGTAGAGGTCCGTCGTGCGTGCAGGACCTGTGTGCCTCAGCCGACCGGCTGAGTGAAGGCTTTCTTCCCCGTGTGAGTTGCGTGCCACGCAACCGGCATTTCATTGGCATGTGAAACCTGTACATCCATATCATGTGTGGCCGTGATGGCCCGAATCCCCTCGCATCCCACATAGGGTGGGTATCTGCCGTTTGACGGCACCGACCGATGGCTACGCTGAGCAGGGAAAGGTTCTACTGCCTGCGCCTCTTCTTCGTTTTCTGGATTGGGGACTTCGTTAGCCCCTGCCAATCCATTGAGACCCCTGGTATAGATTAATGCGGGGGTGTCCCATTTGACAGGCATTTGAAAGGCACATGCTTCACTTTTTCGAAGAAGCACCGCCCAACTATTCCGCCAGGTTGATTTCAATGTTTTCCCTGGGTGTTCTTTGGATAGTCTTTCCCCCAAAAGTGAAGGATCCAGTCGCTTTGGGCAACTGAGAAAGTTACTGGAGAGGTCGGGGGTCCAGGGGAGGGGAGGGGGGTCTTTGGGAAACCTTGAGGGCTCGTTTAATAGAGTTTCGTTGAAAACCACCCACCCAAATCAAAAAACCACCCACTCCAAAAAGATCTCCTCCCTCTACCCCCAAAAGAAGTCCGGAGTCGACTCAACAGGCATACCCCCGCCCAAGACACCCCTCCGAAGGCTCCTAGGGGTTAAAGTCAGCAAATGGGGTTGTTTCAAATTGTTTCCCAAAAACCTACTGAGGGTCCCTCATTTTGTTCTACTTACACCTAAGTGGGGTGGATGACTATCCCCCCCAAAAAAGAAGAAGAAACAAAACACGCTGCAGTCGACTCAACGACTAGACGAACATGTTTGCCTCAAAGCATTTTGAACACTTGTCTAGAGCAATCAGGCACAGCCCACAAACACAAGGATGGTAGCTCTCTTCCCTTTCCCTACTTGGATCGTCCGGGGACATATTGCTGAGTGGCTAGTAACCATTGATCCCAAAACAACCATTGCAAGTCCCCGCGTTGGTTGTCAGGGTTAAGCATCAAGCTCGCGCCCAGAACATCCTCAGAGGTGGTAGAACTGGGTATGTCTTCTTTAGGATTCGGACCCCTTCCCCCCCAAAATGGATTTCGGTTTTCCCTCTTGGTGTCCCTTCAAAACCACCAGACATGGGGTACCAACTCCAAAAAGCGGCACACCCTAGATCTCACTTGTAAGCTGACATGTATCCTTCTGGTTTTCCCGTTTTGGTCCATTTAGTGGCCTCAAAAAATGATCACCAAGTTTTGTTCTGGGTCCGAACTGGGCTGAGTGATATTTTTGAAGTTCACAGGCTCAGGCAACTCTTATTTGGTGGTTTGGATTGGCTTGACCCTGACCCCAGAGGGTCAATGGGGTTTCCCACCCCACACAACCTCCGGGCTCCAAGCCACCTGGGGGGAAGCTGAAAGGCTGCTGCTGGCGGGGGGGCTGCTCTGCATCCACTGGCTGACGGCCTTGTGGTACTCCTTGGGCACTCGCCCGCGCGGCTGGGCGGCGGACGACCTGGAGTCCTTCTCGATGCTGAAGAGCCTCGAAGCATGCGTTTTAGTCTCGTTTCTTGAAAGCTTTGTTCGCAGTTAATGGGGGGGTACAAACAAACAAGTCCAGCGCCACCATACCAAGGGTTGGAAAGAAACAGTATGGGTGTCCCACAAAGAAGAGCGACCCAAAAAGGGACTGAGCCTCAAGCATGGCCCCCGTTTGTCCACCTCCTTCGCCTTTCTTGCAACCAATCGAACTTCCGACCAGGCCCGCCCCGGCCCCTGGGAGGCTAAAAACACATGTGAAAACAGAGATCCTGCACTGCCCAAGAAACGCTGGAATGTTAATGCCCCTGCAAATGCCAACAAACAATGGTTTCAATCATGGTTTCAAGGTGGTGCGAAATGGATTTCGCCACCATCCACAGCATGAGGAATATTTGTTTTGGGTTTGAACTGGACGCCACGTATTTTGTCCCAAATTTTTGACAAACACCCCTATGAGGTGCGGTCGTCAGTCTATGGTCCATTTGGAGGGAAAGCTCACGAAGCTTCCGCACAGAATAAAACCAGCAAACTCACTAAATGGTTCCCTGTGTTTCTTTAAAAGGAGCAACTCATTTTGATGGCCCATATGGTTTCTCAAAGTCAGGAACTTCAGGTAGTTAGTCTGCTTTTGGTTTCCCTGGCCATCTCATAGAGCCATATAGCCGTTGTTGTAACTGGCGTAGGTTGGGGTTGCGCCCACCAGAACCAGAACCAGAACCAGAACAGGTCCCTTGTCCTTTAGTTGTAGTAAGGCCTATATAAACCTTGTAAATCGGGTAAACCTGACTGGTTTGAATTGGTGGTTTGGGGATCCAATCCACCAATTAGAGGGAAGCTCAATACAAGCCATGTGAAATCTTGGCAGAACCAAGAGTCAATTGTTGTTTTGGTCCAGGGCTAGGTGTAGAAGGGAGCCTTTGGAGATGGCCAGAAGGACGCTCACCATGGTCGTTGAGTTTTGGGACAAGTGGTTGGCTTCCTCCCACAAAGGGGACCCCAATTTTGAGAAGCATAGTTTTCATTGCCATCTTGGTACCAAAAGGTTGGCCCCTAGGTCCGACGTCCGACCGAAGTCAGCTGGGATTTTGGGTGCTCTTTTCGCCTAAGGAAGTACGAGGCTGCGCTGGAGTTTGGGCTCAGCCGGCTCCATCCCAGTCGACTCCCGCACAACTTGCAGCTGAAGACCCAGCCGGCGCCTGGACGTGGGTTGGCCTCCAGCCTCCGGCCATTTTTTTGGGTAGGGTGGGTGGGGGAGGAAGATCTAATTATTGGCTGCAGCAACCAGTTGTCGCTTGTTGGGAGCCCAAGTCTGGTCTCGGGAATTTGGCCTTATCGTTTTGGCTGGTTGAACAAACACCCACAAAGTTGTTTGGTTAGTTGAAGAAACCACCTACTAAGTGCTTGCTGATTTGAAGAACAATTTCGACGACCCCTACCTCAACTTTTTTTGCCGAATTCCGCCGTACCTGACCTCAAGCGCTTTTTGGGCCGGATTCGCATTGGCTTGTGAAAAGGGGTCTCCTCAGAACATAGTTGACCAAATAGTGTATTTTGCAGCGGGAGACCTCTGGGTGACACACCTTGAAGTCCGATTGACTAAATATGAAGTGGATTTCGAATACATAAAGTGCTTGGTGTACCCAAAATTGGCTAAACCAGTTCAAGGGGCATTCGAATGCGTTTCCCTTTTCGGGGAAACCAACACGAGCTTGTTCAAGAATAGTTGGTTGTATTGGCAGACCCAAAGATTGGTTACTTGTCCTGGCAATCCGCATCGGGGTCTGAGACCTCCGCTGAACGGAGACTCGCAACAGCCCTGGAAGGTGTGACCCTGGTTCTTCGCGGCCCCTGGCTATCACTCACAACATGTTCAATCGCCACATGTAGGCTGCGGCTCAAAGGCTATGGCTCTCAATGAGCTTTTTAGTCTAGCAAGTACGGTCACCATTTTTGTTTTCGGCCGGATAGATGTTCAAATTCCGAACTGCGACGAGCACAAGGGTTGCGAATGAGCCAGAATGTATACCGATTCCGGTAAATGAAGGTCAATGAACACAAAGATTCGTCCGGGGGTCCTTTTGGGAAAGGTCATGAATAGGCGCAGCATAGATAGGTTGTTCTTCATTCATTCAGCAAAGGTGTTTATGATGACTCCTTTCCGCCCCGGTGTTGCTTTCCGTGGATGACTTTGGGGGTTTCAAGTTTGGGACTTTCTGGGCTCAGGAAGCAAATACAGCATGTGGATGCGGAGGGGAATCCAGACCTCCGGTTTCTCGTTGCTGTTTTTAGTTTCCCTCAAACAAAAAAAGACACAGGGGCAAGTAAGTCGTGGCAGGGGAAATGCGGCAAAGGGTCTTGTTTTGGTTGCCAGGCGAAAAGAGGTGGGGCCGGTAGGACTTCCGGCTCTGGAGGGGCGGAGAGCCTGGATATTTTGGAAGGGTGCCAAAGAGGTGGCTGATAATATTTCGGGCTGAGCGCTTCTGCATGCCGGTTTGGCGCGTTTCCGCCAGAGCGAACCCCGAACCTCAGGCAATGTTGAGATTTTTCCGAGGCAAATGGTGAGGGAAGACACCCGCGACCAAAACCAGAAGCCAGAAGCCAAAAGAGGGTGTCTGTTTTTAGCGGACTCCCCAAACAAGTGGTTTTCCTTTTGTTTATCCTGTAAAACCGCCCAACAGCAGGTACCCCCAAACAAGACACCCGACAAAAGGAGGAACCACACACACCCACACACGCGCGCACACACACACACACCACTGGAGTTGGATCCAACTCGGCCCAAAGGAGAAGATTCTGGCAGTATTTGCCACTTTCGCCGCGCTGGTCTTAGGCAGGGTTGCTCTCGCCATGTGTTTGGTTAGGCAACCAGCCCCGGAACCAGTTGCTCAATGAAAACCACAAGGTGGTTAACACAATCTGCTATTTTGAGGGTGTTCTTTTTTTGATGTTGACCAAAAGTTGGGGGTCCCGTGTTTTGAGACACACCCATTTTTCAATTGCGGCCTACCCATTTTATGGTTGAAATGTCCACTTAATTGTGCGCTAAGTGTACGAATAGGTTGGATCAGCATCCTAAGCCCTCAAAACGGCCCTTTTTGAGTTTCAATGACCTTGGGCTACAGTTTTTATTCTGGCTGAACCACGGGGATGAATGGCCCAACCCTGCTGGGCAAGTTCTAGTCCTTGAAAAGCCGCCCGGGGTACGTTCGCATGTGTTCTTTGAGTACCTGGATACCTCTTTAAGGGTTTTGCGCTTCGTTCTCTTTCTTGAGGCTGCCCTTAGGTTGGCCCCCCAAAGAGGACACCACAGAAATGGCTCCAAACCCCCAAACCGCCAGTGCAGCCGTGCGTGCCGTGGGTGGTTAAGCCCACGCGCGAGGAGATGTTCAAATCCAAATGGATCCAAACCAAAGAAGACTTACTCGAGAAATGGATTGTATCAAAACTGGGCTTCAAAATTGTAGCCCCACCCCCTTTCCCCGACAAAGACTTGCTTGTTCTCAGGGAATCAGGGAATGACCCGTATAAACCATCCCCCGTAGTTTCCTTAAGGGAATCCCCTTCCGGTTCATTCCCAAAACCCTGGGTCATTCCCAGCAAGAACGCACGGCAGGGGGCATCTTCACTTCTTTGGTCACCAACGACATTTCGGATATCCGCCGGAAGCAGCGCGTCAAGCAGGACATGGATGGAGGTGTGTCTGACTTTGTATTTTATGGTTAAGTCTTTTTTTTTTTTAATCAATTTGTGTGGGAGGGGGGGAGGTTGGGGTGGGTGGTAATCTTTCTGGATCGGTTGTACCTTTCTTGGTGGCATGCTGCAAGGGTTCAGTTAGTGTTCTACATGGGTTCAGTTTGCAAATTCTGAATTGTGAGAGTGCTTGTGTGTTCATTCAGCTGTGTGGCGCAGCCAAAGCAATCATTCGGAGTTTGTATCCTTTTTGAGCTGAAAGCTTTGGGTCTCTGACCAAGAAGCTCTTGGGTGGTTCGGTTCAGTTTTCAGGGTTCTTACTGAATTTGATTGGGGCCTGATCCAACATGTTCTTGGGTAGGAGTCTCCAGCCCTTGTGCCATTTGTCTGAGGAGTCCAAATTCCTACCGGTTCCGATCGATTCGCTCGAACGGCGGCAACCCAAGGCAGAGCAATCCTGTGAACCATCTGTTCTTTGTTTGGGATTAGGGGAACCTGAACTGAGCACACTTTTTTCCGGTTTGCCACCAAACCCCAATGATGCACAGGGTCCAATCACAGATTCGGAGTAAAGAGCCGCTGAAAAAAGAAGTCCCATTTGTGCAAGTCAAGTCTCTTTCCGGCCAGGAGGCAGAGCAACAGGTGCACGAGTTTCTGCTGGCCTACCCGGTGCCTCTCCGCCTGGAGGCTCATGCGTTGCTCATCGCTCGTTGTTTGTCGTTCGCCGTTCGTTCATCGCTCGTCGTTCGTTGCTTTTGGTTGGCCTGTCATTGTCGGTCGTTCCTCGTTCGTTCTTTTTTCCTTAGTTGTTCCGTTCGTCTTCCGGCGTGAGCGGGAGCGGAAGTTGAGCTGGGGTTTTGGAGCCAAGTGGTTGGCAGCAGCGCTGGCAGGCGCCTGGTGTTTTCGTACCTTTTCATAAACACCTGGCTGGTGATGTCGTCCGTTTCCATGACAACATGGGGCGGGAGCGGGAGGGGGGGGGGGGGCGAGCGGCTTGTTTGCTGCCACAGATCCGGAAGCCCTACTCGCTCTGACATTTGTTTTGCGCTTTGCTTTGCGAAGCACCCGCCCCATGCGTTGCCTATGGAGCTATGTATGTTCATGGACGAAGACATATTCAATTTAGACAGCATGCGCTCACTTCCAGCTGAAAGTCTATGTGAAGACAGGCTACGTCTCCCATGCACGGTGTGGGTGAGTGTGTGTGTGTGTGTGTTTCTTTAGGGTACCCCTTTGGTGGTATCAAAGGAAAGCCCAAAGGAAAGCCGCCTAGTTAGAGGCAAACCCATGCTTTGACTACGTCAAGGTCAAGGAAAATGGTGTGTTGTTTTATCGTGGAGTCTATCAGAGTCTGAGCAAGGAATACTGTACGTCAAGGAACATGCGGTTCAAAAGGTTGCTCGAAAATTAAAAAAGAAGAAGGTGAGAGCACTATGAGCGCTATTCCATTTGAATTGTGACGTGGTGAGAAAAGTGCACGGACAACCTATTTTAGATTTTCCAGGATAATGTGTCCCACTAACTTTACTTTCTTTTTTCTCCACGAAGTGGAGAGCTGTTCAACATGTTGTGTACGTCCCTGAATGTATCGAACACTTTTTGGTTCGTGCAGGTTCAGTCCACAAATGTTGGCGGATCTTTCAGGATTCGCCTCAGGCCTTTCATTTGGAAGGCGTTGACTTTGTCTAGGTCTGCCGTGTTTAGCTGAATGCAGTCTAAGACATACATGACTTTGCTTTTCAGAATGGCATCGAACACTCTGACCTTCCATCTGATAGAAGGGAAATGGTTCCGCAAGTGATCCCGTTAGCTTTTCTATCCTCCAAGCCTGGCTTCCCTTCCTCTTTCTTCCCACATCAAAACCCTCTAAACCCCGTGCAACGCGGGTCTTGGTTTGTTCTTGCCCCACGACCGTTTCCCGAAAGGGCTAGAAGCCTTTGATCAACCGGCTGGCTCATATTGATCTGGGCGTGGCTGTCACCAACCCCAGGATGGGTTTATTAATTCGGGGTTCCCAGTACTTGGTGAGCGTTCAACTCTAGATCTAGGGATCCAAGTATTTCTTTGTTCATCTTAGTCAAGGGCAAAGATGTCTCGGATGTCAACTAGGTTACGGCGCCACGAAACACCTGGTACGAAATGACCGCGTGGCTGCAAATCCAACTAGCACGGCCGCGCGCATTGCACAGAGGCTTTTTCATCACTTTCAAGCTTTCTCATCACTTTGACACAAAGCGGCTTTGCAATGCTTCCAGAAACTTCACCGGCTTGGATCAAGCAAGCTTGTGCACCACGCCCTTTGTGGAACTCTCATCATTTGACTGTAATTATTTTCCAAACCTTTATCCAAAGGTGTGGAGTCATGGGAGCCCCCCAGCAACCCGCAAAGGAAGAGCCGTTTCAGGTCGCCTTCCGCGAAAGGGGAACACTGAATCACGGCAAGGGTCATTTTCCAGAAACAGGCCACAATGATTCACGGCAGGAATGCATGCTGGGTGAGAATGAAGATGCGATATTCACTCGAACAGTGGCAGCAAACTCAAGAGACATATTTCAGTTTTTGCCGCCCTACGGTGTTCATTTGATGTTGCTGGTAGGCAAAGCCAATCTTTGATACGTCCTTGATTCTTGGCTCATTTGAAGAAACCTAAAGCTTCCCTTTTTCCTCCACTCTGCCTTGCACCCAACCTTTGGCCTTTGTGTCTGGTTGTCTTTTTGAAAGCTCGTGGCTTTAGCTTGCGGGCTCGGCCCTTCTTTCGATCGGATGGAGTTCGTCGTCAGGCGGTCCTTACTAAATACCTGGCCAAGTTGAACTCGAGGCAACGTGCTGTGAGCAAAAACCAGGCGCTGGACTCGGAAGGGGATGCATGATCTTCGCCACCTAGTGGTTTATCAACCCATGGTAGGGTTTCATCCATTCTAGGAGCAGGAGTTTGTCCACCAAGTTTGCTGCCCTGTTTTGCTGGGTTTTTCGCTTACTCAACACTCAAAATGGTGGACCCCTTTTGGTTGAAAACCAACGGAAACCAAGCACTTGAGGGGACCACCATTTCGAGAAACACCCACATCGCTGTTTCCAATTTTTAACGGGAGGTTGCTTTAGTGGATTTATAGGGTAAAATGGGCTGCCCACCTATTTTTGACCCACCAAATGGAGGTCAAAGCAACCAAATCTTGGGGTCAGAGAAGGGTCGACTTTATCGGCGGTCTGCTATTAATAAGAGCATTATGAAAGCAAATAATTGAAAAACATATTTAAGGGCTGCCGCCCTGTGCCGCCGACCCTTGTCTGCTTTTGTCCGAGCTCGGGTTTAGACCGCGTGGAAGTGAAGAAGAAACTTGAGGGGGCCACCTCTCGAATGGTTTGGCAGCAAGCGGCCCCGATTAAAAGGTCGAACTTTTTGCTCAAGCAGAAGATCGATTTGTAACACAGTCCAGAAGCTGTGTTTTAGTAGAGCTTCCAGTCGCTACGCTTCTCCATGCCCTGGGACAGCATGTGATGCAATCTGTTTGGCGATGGCGTGCCTACACGCGGCGCCACGAGCTGCCACTTTCTCAAAAAGGACGGCCAAAAGGACTCGCTTCTCGAGTCTCTCGACTGCAATGTGTCGTATAGCGGAGGATGTCGGCGCCTTTCCAATTAGGTTCTTTTTATGGACCCCCTCTTTTATTGCAGCAGCAACAGGTTTGTTTCTGAGTCAAGACGTATGAGAGCTGTGAAAGTTGCACATTAGCTGGGATAGAGGGTTGGGGTTTGCCAGAACCGACAGTCCAGCGAGTGCTGTGCCTTTTTTCTTTGAAGGCGCTGGGGAGTGCTGAAACCCAGTGAAGGAGTGGAAGTGACTCCAAGTGTTGGCGGGATTTCGACTTCTGGAGCTGTCCAGATCCCTCAACTGCAGAAATCTGAGGAGGGCCGGACTGTTCAGTTCAACGATCCTTGTTAACGCGGTGCGTCCTTTTTTTGTCTCGATCTTTGGGAGAGGACCGGCGCTGTTGCCATTCCGCGGTGCGGTGTTCGCGAGTCGGCAGATCCTTCGTGTTTAGTACAGATGGACGGGTTTACTGCTTGGAGCACGTGGTTTCATCACCACTCATCTAGCTAACAGTCTCAAGGGCAAATGCCGAGCGCACATATCTCACAACAGGAATCCAACCCCCCAACTCGGATTTTGGTTTCTTTTCGGTTTCCTTTTGAACACACCCAAGTTTGCAATGCTGACCCTGATGTATAACACCTACAGTTGTGAATCGGGGGTCCCTTTTGGTGGTTGCATTACTTTCTTGTTAGTTCAGACGCCAGGCGCCATCCTGGGCATGGATGTGTGCGTTCGGAAGCCTTTGGTGGTCACCTGCGGCATCGACAAGTCCGCACGGGTTTGGACGCTCCAGCATGGTTTTGTCTTTTCTGAGTCGCAGAGGGCTCGCCATCTTAACGACAATCCAGATCCCTCAACTGCAGAAATCTGAGGAGGGTTGGAATGACATCGACCACATCATTGGGGAGTTCATCCAGACGGCGTCTGCCGCACTTCTGCCGCACTCTTCCTGCGGACTTCGAGGCGGGCAAGTTGCGGCTGTAAGGGTGAGCGTGCGGCATGTCATGTCTTTGTTCATTCGGTGTAGAGTTATCTTTCTTGTTTTTTGGGGGAAGGATCGGTGCTGTCGTCATTCTGCGGTGCGGTGTTCGCGAGTCAGAATGGGGACGTCGCTGAGCCTCTTTGTTCTATATAGGGACAACTTTTCTATTGGGAGCACGTGGCCTCATCGCCACGAATCTAGCTAACAGTGTCAAGGGCAAATGGCGAGCAAATGTTATTTCAACAACCTCTGTTTATGTGGTGCAGAGTTTATGTGTCTCGGTCTTTGGGGAAGGACTGGTGCCGTCGTCACACTGCGGTGCGGTGTTCGCGAGTCAGAATGGGGACGTCGCTGAGCCTTTTTGTTTTATAGAGGGACAACTTTTTTATTGGGAGCACGTGGCCTCATCATTTCTCATCTAGCTATCAGTCTCAAGGGTAAATGGCGAGCGTATGTTATGTCAACGATCTCTGTTAACGCGGTGCATCATTTTTTGTCTCGATCTTTGGGAGAGGACCGGCGCTGTTGTCATTCCGCGGTGCGGTGTTCGCGAGTCGGAATGGGGACGTCGCTGATCCTTCGTGTTTAGTACACATGGACAGGTTTACTGCTTGGAGCACGTAACGTCATCACCACTCATCTAGTTAAGGGTGTCAATGGCAAATGCCGAGCGCACATTATTTCATCGACTTCTGTTCATGTGTTGCAGAGTTATCTGTCTGGCTCTGTGGGGAAGGACCGGTGCTGTTGTCATTCTGCGGTGCGGTGTTCGCGTGTCAGAATGAGGACGTCGCTGATCCTTTTTGTTTTGTATAGATGGACAGCTTCTTTGTTTCGAGCACATGGCTTCATCACCGCGCATCAAGCTAAGAGTGTCAAGGACAATGGTGAGCATATGGTTTTGGTGTGTATATATATAATGTGTATATATGTACATGTATCTCACAACAGGAATCCAACCCCCCAACTCGGATTTTGGTTTCTTTTCGGTTTCCTTTTGAACACACCCAAGTTTGCAATGTTGACCCTGATGTATAACACCTGCAGTTGTGAATCGGGGGTCCCTTCTGGTGGTTGCATTACTTTCTTGTTAGTTCACCCCTCAGGAACCGACATGGATTCGGGTGTCTGTTTGGTTTCTCTTAAAGGGTAGGCTAGCCTCCCAAAAACAATTCAGCTGGGGGTAAACCAGCTCGGCGCACCCAAAAGGGTAGCTAGGATACGCACACGCACATATATGAATGGAATTCCGAATTTTTGGTTCCCCTTCGGTTTCCCATAAACACACACAACATACACACGGCAAACATGTACCCAGCCTCCCAAACAAAACAAATGCAACTCGGCAAGCCTTTTGTCTAACGCGCATGACGCCAGGCGCCATCCTGGGCATGGATGTGTGCATTCGGAAGCCTTTGGTGGTCACCTGCGGCATCGACAAGTCCGCACGGGTTTGGACGCTCCAGCATGTTTTTTTGTGTGAGTCGCAGAGGGTTCGCCATCTTAACGACAATCCAGATCCCTCAACTGCAGAAATCTGAGGAGGGTTGGAATGCATTACTTTCTTGTTAGTTCACCCCTGATGAACTGACATGGATTCGGGTTTCTGTTTGGTTTCTCTTAAAACACCCCTCCCCCCTCCTCAAAAGGGTAGCCTAGCCTCCCAAAAACAATTCAGCTGGTGATAAACCAGCTCGGCGCACCCAAAAGGGTAGCTAGGACACGCACACGCACATACATGCATGGATTTCCGAATGTTTGGTTTCCCTTCGGTTTCCCATAAACACACACAACATACACACGGCAAACATGTACCAAGCCTCCCAAACAAAACAAATGCAAATCGGCAAGCCTTTTGTCTGATGCGCGTGACGCCAGGCGCCATCCTGGGCATGGATGTGTGCAGTGGTCAGCTGCGGCATCGACAAGTCCGCACGGGTTTGGACGCTCCAGCATGTTTTTTTCTTGTCTGAGTCGCAGAGGGTTCGCCATCTTAACGACAATCCAGATCCCGCAGCTGCAGAAATCTGAGGAGGGTTGGAATGACATCGACCACAGCATCGGGGAGTTCATTCAGACGGCGTCTTCCTGCGGACTTCGAGGCGGGCAAGTTGCGGTTGTAAGGGTGAGCGTGCGGCATGTCATGTCTTTGTTCATTCGGTGTAGAGTTATCTTTCTTGTTTTTTGGGGGAAGGATCGGTGCTGTCGTCATTCTGCGGCGCGGTGTTCGCGAGTCAGAATGGGACAACTTTTCTATTGGGAGCACGTGGCCTCATCGCCACGAATCTAGCTAACAGTGTCAAGGGCAAATGGCGAGGAAATGTTATTTCAACAACCTCTGTTTATGTGGTGCAGAGTTTATGTGTCTCGGTCTTTGGGGAAGGACTGGTGCCGTCGTCATTCTGCGGTGCGGTGTTCGCGAGTCAGAATGGGGACGTCGCTGGGCCTTTTTGTTTTATAGAGGGACAACTTTTTTATTGGGAGCACGTGGCCTCATCATTTCTCATCTAGCTAACAGTCTCAAGGGTAAATGGCGAGCGTATGTTATGTCAACGATCTCTGTTAACGCGGTGCATCATTTTTTGTCTCGATCTTTGGGAGAGGACCGGCGCTGTTGTCATTCCGCGGTGCGGTGTTCGCGAGTCGGAATGGGGACGTCGCTGATCCTTCGTGTTTAGTACACATGGACAGGTTTACTGCTTGGAGCACGTAACGTCATCACCACTCATCTAGTTAAGAGTGTCAATGGCAAATGCCGAGCGCATGTATTTCATCGACTTCTGTTCATGTGTTGCAGAGTTATCTGTCTGGCTCTGTGGGGAAGGACCGGTGCTGTTGTCATTCTGCGGTGCGGTGTTCGCGTGAGGACGTCGCTGATCCTTTTTGTTTTGTATAGATGGACAGCTTCTTTGTTTCGAGCACATGGCTTCATCACCGCGCATCAAGCTAAGAGTGTCAAGGACAATGGTGAGCATGTGGTTTTGGTGTGTATATATATAATGTGTATATATGTACATGTATCTCACAACAGGAATCCAACCCCCCAACTCGGATTTTGGTTTCTTTTCGGTTTCCTGTTGACCACACCCAAGTTTGCAATGTTGACCTTGATGTATAACACCTGCAGTTGTGAATCGGGGGTCCCTTTTGGTGGTTGCATTACTTTCTTGTTAGTTCACCCCTGAGGAACTGACATGGATTCGGGTTTCTGTTTGGTTTCTGTTAAAGCACCCCTCCCCCCTCCTCAAAAGGGTAGCCTAGCCTCC